GGATAATTTAACTTTCCTGTAGTTTCACGTTATAGAACTAGTTTTAATTATTTTAACTTCATTTCTGAGGAATGTCATTTTGGCACGGGCGGATGGCTCAAAATACTATTATACCATTGAGCCATTGCCACCAGTGCTATGGAGAGAAATCCTGTCAGAGACCCGAATCAGAGCGGTGGAGCATTTCAACAATGCTTTGTTATTGCAGTTGCAACAACAAATCAAATCGCAGTTAAAATACCAGAATCAAAAAGTTAATAGATTTAAGCAGCAGATTGTAATCTGTGTTTTCAACAGTGTAATCTTCCATTTCCATCTGCATTTAGCAGAGCATGTAAAAGAATTTAGTTCATAAGGTTACTTAAAAAATATTTTTATTTGATGTATTATATATGTTTTGCTAATATGGTTGAAAAAATTAAGGGAGCTGGCAACTGGATAAAGACAAACTGTTTAAATGTGAAATTCTATTGAAACTGTGCAGCACTGATTAAGATGCTGAAATCTAAATAAAATATTATACACTATACTGTACATTACGAATTCAGCAACGTATCTGGTTGTCAAAACAAGGTTTTGTTTGCCGTTAACTGCAGTAAAGACAACAACTTCTCCTTTAAAAAGTGAAAATAAGTACAAAAACAATGAGCCTTATGTATACTGTATAAGCAAGCAATATTGTTTTGGTTGGAAAACCAGTGATGTGAAATGTGGTGACACAATACACACAGATGCAGTCACAGAGGCAGCTTATTCATCATTCAAACTGCAGGGCTGGTTGGGGATAAAGGAAGCGGCAGATCTCGCTAGAGTAGAGGGACAACAGACATCTATTAATCTTACCTCCTGTCCTGTCAAATAGTACGCCGACAGCAACCCGCCAACGTAACGGATGTTCACCTCAAAGAGTGATGCCTCACCGTTCTGTTGAAGAGAAAGAGATCAAATTGTCAAATGTCACATTCAGCAAAAGCCTCAGTCAGCAGTAAAGCAGCACAGTGGTGTTTATGTAAAATAATAATGCACTGTAGTCATCATAATCATGTGTTTTTACTTAGGCTGTGGGTTTTTTTAGTGTGAATATAGTAACATATATAATAACTGGCATAGCTGGTAGATTAATTCCCTTTGAAATCCTTTGGGCATAATGCACACAGTAAGCTGTGAAGTCTCTGTGGAACATGTCACACATCCCAGTGTGCCGATATGAATGTTGTAGCTGACAGTTTATTTAATTTAAATTCAATGATATGTTGTCTGGCTGTTGCCCTTATGGAGATTCCCTCTCCAAAGAAATCAACTAGAGCCAGACCAATCTCAAAAGTCAGCCACACATTCCAGTGTACCGATTTGAATGTTTGTTTAAAAGATTTTATAAATGTAAGAGGTGACACATTTGAGACACCATGACTAGCCTGACACTGACTTCCTGTTCGCTGCTTTCTGTTTGGGGGAATACTGTGGCCTGACCTGATCAGTGCGACTGATGTATTTCTTCATTCAGCATGATTTCTAGTCAACACAGAAGTTGTGTTTTTGGTGTCCAGGGGCAGTTAGCTTCAAGTTTTATAAAACAGTAAGTAACATGATTATGCTATGACTTTTGTGGTTATATGGAAAATAATTTTGTTCATTGTGGAGCACAGAAAGACAGATTGCAGAAACAGTGCATTATGTCCTTTAACAGCCGGTGGTTGTGGTTTTCTTCAACCAGGATTAAAAAGTGCATTTATTGGCGACTCCATTCGCAAGTTTGGTGTGCTAATGAGCATAACGGTGTTTTTGATATTGTGTTCATCGTTATGAATGAACATGTCACCCAGTGTAGCTCATTGTGGCACAGATGAATATTCTTTATCATACTTAAATGGTTACAGACAATACTCGTCAGTAGGATCGATTTCTTTGTTTTAGTCTTTTCATAGGATTTGTTGACAGTAAGTAAAATATAGAATATCACCAGACTTATCTTTTAACTGTGTTAAGCAACCTCATTTTGAGGGGGGATCAGACAACTCTCTACATACTTTTACTTTACAGTATGAATCCCCATGACAACAGCACATGTGGTTACTGGATGAGGATGTGACAGAACTACAAACATCTGCTGATTGACTGACTGATTAACCTTATTATCCCTCATTAGCAAATTGTGGTGTATTCATAAGTCTGTGACAATATAATAAAAGAATGATGACAAGTCAATAAAGTAGTGCAAGTTTAGCATTAGCATTAATTGCCAACATCAAAACATCAATATTAATGTATTAGCATCATCCTCACTGCCAAATCACTAAAAACAGTATAAATTACACAGTCATAATTGCTCTCATTTTACTCTTTTCATTAGTTTTATTTTACATTAGCTGACTTTTTTAAATTTATATTCAGGGATATGTTGTCTGGCTGTTGATGGACACAACGGCCAGTGTCAGAATAAGACTGGTGAACCTGAGCTTATGAGGCAGTCTTACTAACCACCAAGCTCCCATGATGCTCGCCCTAATGGAGATTCTCTCTCCAAAGAAATTAGAGCCAGGCCAATCTCAAAGAGTCAGGCCGCAAAGTCATGTTATAATGCTCCGCAGTGCTTTGTTTCCTCTTTAGTCTGAGGGTCTCCTACTACTGAAGGGCAATATCGATTAGTGGCTCAAGTAGAATTTTATTCAGCGTCCTTTGCTGTACGTTTTTTAAATGTCATCTGTTGCTCCTCTTCTTTTTGTCATTTAGAGTTTGAAACTGAATAATGTCCCCTATCAGACAGGGCCAAGATTAGTTTGGACTGATTACAGTAAAATCCATTGTTATTAATACAGTATACAGAGTAATAACTTGACAGATTTTTATTTCATAAAATCTCAAATGACTAGTGGCTGAGACCTTTATCTGAACTGTTGAGAGCTAGACCAGTATTGCCTTATACAACTCAGTAGCTTAACAATGATGGAAAAAACTGCAATTAGAAACAATTGGAAATAACTGAACAAAATCATATTCTCTTGAAAAGAACAATTGAAATTAGCAGATTCGTGGGTATGTGTGTGTTTCCATCCATCAGTTTTTATGCGCATTTTTAATTTAGGAATAAACAGAGGAAAAATGCCAGAAATTCTTAAAAATAAATGCATTTTTTCATGATTGGGCTTGGCTGAGGTGCATCAATATAACGAAATGCAATTAAGTGCAATAGAAACAGCTTTAGCAACAAAATGCCAGACAACTGTTTTCCTGCCACGCACTACCGTCTCCTGTCATCCACTAACCCCTGTTCCCGGCGTTCCCCCACCACCTGACCTTCTCCGTCTACATGCACACCTGTTCCCCCATTATCCCTGCAGTATATATTGGCCCATTTTCACCCATTGTGCTTTGGCCTTAGCGGTCTAGCCTTTTGTTACCATCTGCCTGCAAGCTGCCTGTTAAACCCCCTGCCTGCCTATGACTTCTGCTCCTCTGCCTAACCTTTTGGGTTTGCCTGTTCTTCTCTGTCTGCCTGTTTATATATATATTATATTTTTTGCTTTCCCTGACTTCTGAGTAACCATGAAATGTTACTGAGAAGTCAGGTCTCCGAGTTGTGCTTCTGCATTCAGACCTGTTCTTACTGAACTTCATGACGTACATGAAGCACAAGTCATCAACAAATTAATAACTGAAACAAACATAAATGACTGACAGTAATCCCAGCAACTCTTTATCTTGATGCAGCCAACTCCTGATATTCACTAAACAGCAGTAGATGGAAACAGCAATTTTCTCTTACCAATTTTCTGGTCAAATGGCTAATTGGTAAGAATCTGACATGATGCTGAATTTACTAGAGCACAGGTCATTTTAACCCACCCTCATTGATTTTAACCCAGCCTCACCGCAAGTTTCTTAACCTTTTGTGGAGAAACAGCATCACAATAATATAATGACATCTGAAAACAAAACAAAAAACTAATAGGGCTTTCCATTTACTGTATGATTTTATTTAATTACAGAGCAGGCCTTTTCAATAAAAATGGTCTCAACTTGTTGTCCATGGGTGCATATACAAATAAAGGCAAAAACATGCACATAATACTTGTATTAATTGAGAGCCCTTACATTGCACTTACATCAAATTATATAAATAGTTAATTAACTGTAGTTTTTAAAATTTTACAGAAATGTCTAATATTTTCATGCTGCAACTATAAACCCTATGAGGAGAGGAACAAGTTGCTGTTCTGTTTGCCAACATTAAATACAGGTGGTCTACTTCTTTTCTAAATGAAATATGCATGCGTCTCAATATGTTACCATAATTATTACCTCTTACGCTAGCTGGAGGTTGAAGCAGACTGGTACTCAATGACTTGGAGACACATTGAGAAGGAAATTGGTATCTCAAGTGTGGATGATAAGGAAACTGTAATTGGGTGCCAGAGAGGGCATTTAGCTCCACTCTGAGGAATAGCATAGAGATGGAGAGTCACTGGCATCTGTTCAGTGGTATCATTTATCTCCATATACATCTCTTGTCTTTAAAAATGTATATACTTATTTCTATTTTGTAGTATTATACTTAATATAAATCAATACTTGGCATCAATAATCATCAAATGTGTTTGGGTGTTAATTTACATATTCAGTGCTGTCAGCAAAATATTACTACAAAGATTTTTCCGTGTGTGACCAACTTGGCAAATAAATTAAAGATAAATTGTGTTAGGAATAGTTTAAGCGTTTAATGAGAAAATCAATACCTCTCTCATGTCTGGTCAGAAAATATAAGCTGCAGCCAGCAGCCCCTTAGCTTAGTTTACTCCATTCAGTCTTTGGATAAAACCTATTTAACATGTTAATTAGTAGTAGTTAATTAGAGTTTTATCATGCTGGTAGGTGGACTTTGTTATCTTTGGACAGAGCCAGGCTTGCCTTTTCCCCCTTTTTTTAGTCTTTAAGCTAAGCTAAACTAACCATCTGCTGGCTACAGCCTCATATTTACCATACAGAAGTAAAAGTGGCCTCAATCTTCTTACGTAACACCTGGCAAGAAAGCGAATAAGCATATTTCCCAAAATGAACTAAAGTAACTATTCCTTTAGCATTCATTGTCCTTGTCATCTGTTATGTAACTGTATAAATCAGGTAACAGGAGCAGGGCTGTTGTACAACCAAGGTGCTGGCTTCCTCCCTGAAGTCAGCACACTGGTGACATTTCTTGAGACAAAGCACCGATGCCTCTGGCAGGGCAGCTGAGCTGAGCTGTCTTGCCAACACTGAAATGAGTGGCCCATTCAGTAATGGCACTACGATGGTAGTGATTAGGAATGGGGTGTCTATTTATCACCAGTGACAGTGGCACTCAGAAAGACAGGCAGGAGGTACAGTGAGGGAGGACAAGTGATGCTGACACAGGTTTTGCTAATCATACATTTACTTCCCAATACAGGCCCAATGAATCATTCAGCAAGCTTCAATAAAACTTATTATATTCATACCACTGCACTATTTGAAGATCCAACAATGTTCACTTTATACAGTAGATCAAGCCTGTATTAAAATGGTTTAGTTGATTTTTAAATCTCAATTATTTTTCAGGAACTATAAAACATTGTTAAAGTGTAAATGGTGCGACCGCATCTCCATTACTTCCAACTGAAAAAGCAAGCCCCGGGGCTCTGGAAAAGCAAACGCATACAAAACAACTTAAACTCACACTAACATGAATCGATTCAATCATCACATCATAAGCAAGATATCAAGACAGAAGATTAAAAGTATGCCAAAGTCCTCTGAGAGGCTGTTCATAGCTTTTTTCCAGCATAACATTTTCAATTCAATTTTATTTATATAGCGCCAAATCACAACAACAGTTATCTCACAGCGCTTTTCATAAAAGAGCAGGTCTAGACTGTACTCTATGATGCTATTTACAGAAGCCCAACAGTTCC